CTGATATAACGCGGTAAAGCAGTGCTCCGGGGGCGGGGGGGGGCTGCGCACTCCGGCGGATCAAAGCAAGTTCGATATAACGCGGTTTCACCTATAACACAGTAAGATTTTTTGGCTTCCGAGGACAGCGTTATATCGGGGTAGAGGTGTACCTCTAAGTCTTAGAATGATTAATTATTTGCATTTTCATAGCATCTAGGAGCTTCACTCATGGCCCAGGACCCTATTGTGCCAAGTGCTGAACAAATACAGAACAGAAATGAACCAATCTGGTATCTGGACCAGTAGAGAAAGAAAAGGACACAGTGAATTACAAATATCAGAGGGGTAGCCGTGTTAGTCTGGATCTGTAAAAAGCAACAAAGAGTCCTAAATTTGTTAGTCTCTAAGGTGCCACAAGTACTCCTGTTCTTCTTTTTAAAGAGTCCTGTGGCACCTTATAGACTAACAGATGTAGTGGAGCATAAGCTTTCGTGGGTGAATATTACAAGGTTTTTTTTAACTCCTGCCCTCCCCACATAACTCCTTTATGGGTCAGGACCCCTACAATTACAACACGGTGAAATTTCAGATTTAAATAGCTGAAATAATTACATTTATGATTTTTTAAATCCTATGATTGTGAAATTGATCAAAATGGACTGTGAATTTGGTAGGGCCCTATCTATAATGAACCAAACTGATATCCTGCAGTGTTCAGCTCAGGCCTCTTTCTTCATCTATGATGTACCTGCCATCATTCTGCAGCAAGACAATGCCAGAGCCCTACCTTGGGCTGCTGGGTCTGATTGTAGTGTAAAATGCTAATGATCTTTTTCAATGGAAAAAGGAGAGAAGTAGCACCTACCTACCGCACGACAGAGGGTCTCCTGTTCCTGGATTGGCACTATATGCTATTGCACAGTGGTGATCTATCCCAAAGTGCTAATTACAGCCATCTCGATTGTTTGTTAGTTTCAGGTAATTAGCTTGGATTGCTGTTACACAGCAGGGTTGTTTCACAAATGTACTGCACTCCTCTCTGGCTACACTACTGAAGTTACTGAGTAATGTCCCTCTCACCAGATAAAATCAGAACCTCTTATAGCAATCAGGAGCATAATTAGGATTGCTTAAGCTTAATGAGATGAAAGGTGAAATGGTATTGCATGGTTTCTTCCGGATCTCTGATACTGGAGACCAACAGCCTAAACCTCTAACCTGCTTATGATTAATTCCTAATCACACAAGTTATCGGTGGGTCTCCACACACGCTAATTACTCATATGAGTAAGGGTTTGGCAGGAGCATGTTTTACCAGTGCAATTTCTTTTAACATACTCATGTCTCCAGATCCCTGAAGCCTCACTAAAGCATTCCAAGACTTTTGTCCAAACTGGGTCAAAGACCTAATTGAAAGAGCAGCGTGAGTATATTTCACTGCTGCAGTCCAGCAAGATTGTCTATTTGAATCATCCCATAGGAGAGCTTCGTGCAACAGGAACCTCAAGCATTCAACCTGTTTCACTATGGGCAGCCTGTGGTGAGGGTGCTCTGGAGTAGATGTATTTCTGTTTAGACTTGACAAGACGTTAAAACAAAAACGTTGATCACAATAAAGGGAAAAGTCAGTTGTCAGCCTTGGACTTTTGCACTGTGGGTGCAATAAGTTATGTATTTTAGTAGGGCTCAGCATGGGAGGGTGTGATAGTGATTGAACTGTTATCAGTCTGTGGGAGCAATCAGATCCCGTATTAGTAGGCTAGGTCCGTAGATTCCAGTGCCTGTGCAAAGTATGCAGCGAGTCTCTATTATTCTGCTGGCAAACTCATTCTGCAGTTACTCTGATGTGCCTTGCAGGGTAAGAAGCCTCATTTTGTGTTGCAAATGTTTACACACAAAAATGGGCCAGATCCGTGCTCAGCTTCAGGATTCAGTTTGGATTCAAATACATCTCTACCCCAATATAACACGACCCGATATAACACAAATTCAGATATAACATGGTAAAGCAGTGCTCTGGGGCGGGCAGGGCTGTGCACTCTGGGGGATCAAAGCAAGTTTGATATAACGCGGTTTCACCTATAACGTGGTAAGTTTTTTTGGCTCCCGAGGACAGCGTTATATCGAGGTAGAGGTGTACTCAATTTCCAGAAGAGGGGCTCCTTTTCCAAACACAACCAAGACTTTTAGTGGGCCTCACTTCAAAGGCATGGAGGAGATCAGATAGCACTGATACCCCAGTCTGCCCAGAGAAGGCAGAATGAGAGACAGACCCATCTTTTCAAAATGCTGGGACACCGAGTAAACTAAGGAACATCCTGGAATTTGGGGATGAGCCACCAATCTAGTATACAGCTAGGTACTTCTCAGCCTTCACCCAATATTTTTCTGAAGACTTGTGGAGCTACGTAATGATATGTGCTGGTCCATTAAGGTTGAGGAGAGCACCCCTCATAGACTAAAAGAACAGGAGTACTTGTGGCACCTTAGAGACTAACAAATTTATTAGAGCATAAGCTTTCGTGGGCTACAGCCCACTTCTTCGGATGCATAGAATGGAACATATATTGAGGAGATATATATACACACATACAGAGAGCATGAAGAGGTGGGAGTTGTCTTACCAACTCTGAGAGGCCAATTAAGTAAGAGGGAAAAAAACCTTTTGAAGTGATAAGAAGTGTGAGAGTACTTACATGGGGAGACAGATAGAGACACTTCTTATCAATCTGTCTGTACTGGGCTATCTTGATTATCACTTCAAAAGTTTTTTTTCCT